GACCGAAAGTTTGATCACATTATTTCAGAAGCACTAATAGACACACAAGCATACGAAAGTTTTAAAGAACGCTTCCAAATATTTTCACTAACCTTTCATTTCCTTGCACCACACGAAAGAGATTTACACTGCTCACACGATATTATGTTGCGCACTAAACAAACCCACACATATAGTTATTATCGCTTCATCCAAAATCACTTTGACCTACACACACCCTCTAGACAACCACACCATCGTTTTCAATTCATTAATTCCAAATATACTTCACCATTTTTCCTAAATTTCACATATTGTATTAAAGACACTAACCTCCATGGTATTCTTCGTAATTATGATCCCATAACCCAAATGTACATCTTCTGTCCCATCACCAAGACCTTCAACGCCGAAGAATCCCGACCCTTCCTTATCCCGCACGAGTTTGTACAACCTATAGAAATCCCAATTTTAGAATTCATCCACAACACTAAATTCAATCACAAATTATATAATCTAATCCAAAACACACCTTATGAGTTTGCAGTTGGCACTGAAGAACTAACCACTATCAAGGCACTCCAATTGCTTTGGCCACTGCTTCAGACTAAAAATATCATCCGCATCTTAGCTAAACTACTAACAACTTCAGAACTAATTCACGACATCTTCCCCCACGGTTTTTTCCCCGACGACTAACAGGTAAGTATGAATTAAATGAATATTACTAACTAATTAAAATATTAAAAAATTCACCATACTTTATCCATGTTTTCTTTAGATTTTTAGCCTTCATCCGACAATCACCTACAAAAACCACAAAAGACAAATAAAAATCGCAAATTTCATCAAACAGATTTCAAAAATTCTATTAATCTCTTACACTTATAAATTAATAAATTTAATACCAATGCAGTAAATTGATTTCTAAAATTTTCCCCACAAGCAGTAAATCTAATTATGATGAAAATTTGTAACTTAAAATTCCCCCATAACTAGCAGTGAATTTCCAAATTCTATGCAGTAAATTAATAAAATGCAAATGCAGTACTAACCTTTTGATATTTTCATTCATTCGCACAGAAATTCTATCCACACTCGCACAGCTCGCCAACGACGAATTGTTTAAAATAATGAATTTCAGTTTCAAGTTTTCACACTCAACAACTCTAACATATAATAACATGTTTCAAACCTTCCTTTAACCCGGTTGGAAAGGAATCATATACTAAACAAAACTAACCAACGCAGCTTACTAAATACCACAAATCATAGAATAACAGCATGACTAAGAAAAGGAAACCAACGGTACCCAAACCGGATTAACCCAGTTTAAAACTGGATAATTTATTCTTTTGAAGACTATTATAAAGTCTAAGAAAGAAATAATAAAACACAAAAAAGTCGAAAGACAAACCCATACCACGAACAATTTGCTTTTTGGAAAAAGGACATAACCAACAAGACATAAGAAAAACCACAACAAACCCAACATAAAACGTTGTCACATAACAGGACCCCTCACAAAAACCGCATGAAATCATACTCCCACTCCTGGCCTAACCCACCAGGAAGGACGTCCTGAGCATGCTCTATAGCCGGCCTAACCCACCGTGCTACATCCACGCTTTGTGACCACACCTCTATTTTTAATAAGAGCTACTCAAGTGTGAGTAACTCTTCAAAATAACCGAACTAAAACAAAAAGCTTTTGTGAAAACAACTAACTAAAATCATAATTAAAAAATATTAAACTAATAAATGTTTTATAAAATGTAAATTACATTATGCAATACATAGATCAGAATACAACACCAAGGACGAACATCTAAAGACAAAACGACCCCACTACACTCGAGAGAGAATGACCAACCACAATCGATATGCCACTCACAATCACAACTCAAAGGATTTAGAGTACGACTTGACTTCGCAGAAAAGGACTTCATTGAACTAGACCAATGACCACCTCGATGTTCAAGTATACGTACAGATCCGAGTAACCAGGCATCCCCTCCACGCACAATCTCCACGCCATTCCCAAACTAGATCAGACACAAAAGAAGTTCTCCACGCAGAACAGAAAAACCTGACATAGCCAACCATTCTGAAATCAGATTTGAGTTTGTTGCGAAGACTTAGTCGTTGTCACTAGAAGACACAACGTCTTATGTCCCTAACTCCAGCTTCCTGAAACTTCTTTAACAAAGAAGAAGCGGAAGAAAATTATGATGTTCACCAAATACCAACGTCCATCATCCATCCTTGAATTACAGAAGAACTGTTCTAAAAAACTCTGTAAAACCCGGATGGGTGGAACCTGATCTAAACTATATTTTATGATTGGATAAATTAAATGTTTTACCAATGTAAAGTATTTAATATTAACCAATCATGATCCATCTAACTAACAACCCACTTATTTGTAAGTGCTGAAGTTACTTGTAATTTCAGCACCAGAGAGATTTGAATTTAACTTAGAAATTAGTTGGACTCTCCCGAGCACTTCAGCAGCCGCAATAAACCAGTATACCCTAGATCTATTGAGCCTAGCAGAGACTAGTTAAACAACCTGAGACTAGATAGTATAAGAGTAAGATTAGGATCGGTATTAGACTAAGAAGTTGCACGAATCTATCCGGCCGAAAATAAGATAGCGTGACGAGCAGACGGTGTACCCTATCCGAAATTACTCTATGAGTTAACCAACTCGAAACTAACTCACAGTTTCAGATAATTTAACTTATCGTGTAAGTAATTTCTAAATCAGGAAGAGCAGTTTCAGATAATTTAACTACGTGTAAGTGTTTACCAAAAAAAATTGCCTGCAACTTAAAACTTGGCATTAACTAAAAACTAATACATTTTTTCCGAATTACCAGGGAAAAAATCAAGTTACAGAGTTTAAAGATAAGAAAACTCGGAAGGATAGCCAAACGTGGTAGTAACAGTTATTGGTATCACAAGTAATATGGTGAACAGAATTGGTAAAAAAAGTTATGGTTCAAAAAATACAAAAAAGTGAAAATTGGGCAATTGAATAACATTTTTAAATAATCATTTACCCGCTTTGAGGTTCCATGGATAATATTCGAATAAAATATTGTGATTTCCTCTGCTTCTGAATATAAAATTTTTTAAACTTGATTATAATCAGTTTCAATTGGTTATTTCTAAACATTTTCCTTTTTTTTTCTAGTTTTATTCTATTTTTTAGTCTTATAATTGACCAAAAGTTATTAACTTTTCTAAATTTGCTCTATTTTCCATTATATCATTACTTGTGCATGTACCTTAGCTGAAAATATTTGAAAAAAGAAAAAATTTCACCATGTTTTGGTTCTGGAAATGATTTGCTTCTTTTTCCGTTTTCTTAAACCTCGCCGCACCCTCTCAATCACATTTAAAAAACTTTAAATAAAATTCATATATTGATTTTCTAGCAATTACTCTGTGACGAAAAATGGGTTTGCAGCTATGAAAAAAAAACATTGCAAAACAATGTTTCAGATGTAAAACAATTTATGTCAAATGTTTTGTCCCAAGCATCCCCTTAAAGAGTAATACTTTGTTCAGTAATTACTTTTACGAAATGAGAGTAAATAATAGACTCAAAGCAAAGGAGTATTAAAAATATTGCAAAAAAAAGTATTTGACGTTTTTTGGGAACCTTGATAAAAATGTTGCAACCATTATTTACCTTTGTGTTCAGATTTTTAACCTTATTTGTATGGGAGCTGTTTGCTGGCAAAGGGGTTGTTCTTGTCTGTTTCGTATATTGGGCTCCGTTTGATAAGAATTCGGCTCATTTTGTATTTTGACTGAATGAGCCTAATTTGTAGCAATTTTGTCCCGATTTTTAGTTTCCAATTTCTCTGCACACCCGCCAAACAGGTGAACCGACCAAATTTCGCAATCTTATCTGCTCAATAAATTGTAGATCAGCCTAGTAGAGCCCAAAGTAGGAAATTAGACATCATAAAATTTGAAAAATTGGAAACTAAAAATTGGGCCAAAATTGCTACAAATTAGGCTCATTCAATTTGTAGATGAGCCTAGTAGAGCCAAAAGTGGGAAATTAGGCTCATTCAATATCTCACTAGGGTGAGATCAAAGTGCAAAATGAGCCGAATTCTTATCAAACGGAGCCCAATTTTGGTCGCTAACTTCTCAGAATGGGGCTGATAGCAGGGGCGGATTTAGGGGGGGGGGGGGCGGACGCCCTCTCCTCAGGGATTCGAACCCCTGCCAACCCAAAGGGTCCCCCCTTTGGTACTTTTTAAGAAATCCATTTTTGGCCGACCGACCCTAAAATTTTTCTAAAGGCGCCTTCGGCACCAATATATACTAATTTTGAGGGGGAGCGCGCGCCAAAAAAATGCGTTTTTCTTGTCAAAATTTTCCAAAAAGTGCCCAAAAACGGCTTTTTTGACCTGTTTTTTCAAAAAATTGCCTGCGGCGCACAAAGTTTGGCCAAAACAGGGTCTTTTTACTGCTTCGGGAGAGCTCGGAACGTCAATCTGATCGACCTAAAAAAAAAAAAAAGGTCGTCAAAATTTTCGAAAATTTTTTGAAAATCCGCCCCCCCCCCTCGAGAAAATCCTAGATCCGCCCCTCTGGCTGATAGTGTTCAATTTGTAGCAAAAAATGCTGAATGAGCCCATTTTGTAGCAAAAAAGTGCCCAATGTGCCCCCAGTTTTTAGCTAAAAGTGCTGAATAAGCCCAACTTTTACCAAACTCGACTCATTAAATTTGCTAAATTTGGTTTAAATAGACACACAGAACTTTCGAGGATTGGAAGAACAGAGAGAGCACATAGATCATGGCTACTTAATGAGTCGGTCCATGACCCTCGAAATAATTGTTTTTTTTTAAAAAAAAAGGACTAAATGGCCCCAATTTTTGTTCCCTGATTTTTCATGGAAAGTGACGAAGGAGCCCATTTTTTTATATGCTGGCCTTCATTGAAAATTATAGGCAAAAGTTTTGACCCGGGATTGCCTCCTCTCGGAAAGTATACCTTCCAAATGATGTTTCCGTCCGTGTTGGGGTTCATGGCGGCTGCGAGGGCCGAGGTGACCATGAGGAGCTGCTTCTGCTGGTGCTGCATCACACTGTACGTCATGGCCAGGTGTAGTTTAGTCGACTCTTCCAAGTGGCGAGACAGTGCATAGTGGGAACCCTAAACAGGACGAGAAACAAATACTTTACTCAGGCCCAGCAAACTTTGCGATCTTATCTGTTCGATCTTGAAATCTCGGCAAGATTTTCAAGATGGCTGGTTAAAAGACAAAAATTACTGGTTTTGTTTTCCATAAAAATTTTGTTTTTGATAAGATTGCCAAAATTTCTCTGAAAATATCTACCAAAAGGGGCTTGAAAATCATTGGTTTGGTTTTGTTCGTTTTATTTAATTTTTTCCTCACCTGGAAGTGACAGCCAGCGTCTCTGAAGATGCAGGAGATGATGACTGATGACTGATGATCTACCTGAAACAAATAACAAAATTAGTAGAGAAGTTATTTATTGGCTACAGTCTCCACCTCTCATTCAAAAGGTCACACCCACGATCGATCACCATGATCCGTGCTCGTCTCGGCGGGGGATATAGGTCACAACTTTTTTTCCAAAAAATAACCAAAAATTTTACGAAATTATTATAAACAGCAGTTTTCCATAAAGCGCAGAACACCTGCTTTGTTTTCAAAAATTTCTAACTTTCATTGCCATTGCTAATAGGTCGTCCTAATCATAGCCTTATTTGCACCAAATGAAAGGATGCAAAAAGAGCTTAGCTCAACAGATTAACTCAGTTTGGAATGTAAGAAATACGAAATATAAAAATTAATTATCCTACGACAGGCCTGCGATAGGCCTACTGAGCTCTTCTGCGATTCGCAGGAACCACATCTATTTTTATTATGGCCATGATTATAATTATTATGATTATTTGTGTTATTATTTTTTATGATAAATAATACTATGATTATTTTGAGTTTTGTTATGATTATTATTGATTTTAATATGATGATTATTTTTATAAGTATGATTAATATGAGTATTTTTCCGACCATTGAAAATGAGGAACTTAGTATTTGAGTGTGTGTAATTTTTTTCTTTTTTTTAAACCTTTTGTTTTCCGCGCAAAATCAGGTACCACAAACAATCCTCGGACAGGGTCGAGCGATATATCTTATTAAACCAATCTAGTCATGATTCGAACGACACTAAAATTTCCAAAAAACACCAGATCTTTTTTTTTGATTTTTTGTCTATTTTCGAGCGAGTAAAGCAATCAACTAACGTTTGTTAAGTATGAAAAATAGAAAATTAGACAAATACATTTGGTTTCATTAAAAAAACCTACTTTTGGAAACTTCATTGAGCTCTTTTTGTAAAAAATTCTTTCAAAAATATTTAAAGTTATTAGCGCAAAAATTTGAAAGTTAAATTAAAATAAAAAAAGTTTTAAAAATTTTTAAATACTTTTGGTTATTAATTTTTTGAAGACCATTGATTTCGCTTATGCCTAATTCACTAAATTTCTACGGGTTCATATAGTTGTATCATCACACGACGAACAAAAAAGATACTGTTCTTGTTGTTTTGATTATGATGATGATTATTATCATTTTTATTACGATTATTATGATTACTATTACGGTTGTTATTGATATTTGTGTTTTGATGTTTATGATTATGATTATTGTGATTATAATTTTATTGTATTTTATTTTATTATTGTTATAATGACTATTATGGTGATTGTCCTTACTATGATTATTATTATGTTTATGATTGATATATTGGTATTTTTAATTCTTAATAACCTGATTATTATGAATATTATGATTCTTAAGACTGATATTGGTGGTATTTCTATTATTAATATTTTTTAAACTTTATTATGATTAAGCTAATTATTGTTTTCATTATTATGATTACTATTATAATAATTATGACTATGATAATGATTATTTAATTAATTTTTGGATTATTATGAATAATTACATTACTGTTTTTTAAATTTATTGTTCTGATTATTGCTATAATTGCATCTTTTATGATTATTAAGAATTTTATTTTGAATATGATTTTGAATACTTTTATGGTTATGAGATTTGGATGAGTATTAATAAGATGATTATTCTTATTAAAATGATTATTATGATTATTATATTATGACTCTTATGATTATTAGGATTGATATCATTGTTATTTTTCTTGTTAAAATTTATTTATCTTTCATATGATTTTTTAAATTGTTTTTCAAATGTTTATGATTATCAATATAGTTATTATGATTAATTTGAGTATTATTATTTTTATCATAATGATTGATAATAAAAAAATTATTGTTATTTTTAGGATTTTTTTAATTAAGATTTTTATTATGTTTTTGATTAAAATAATTATTATTATGACATCACTTTTAGGCCGACCAACCCTAAAATTTTTCTAAGAGCGCCTTTGGCGCCAATATATACTGATTTTGAAGGGTAGGGCGCGCCAAAAAAAAACGCATTTTTATCAAACTTTTCCGAAAAGTGAGCAAAAACGGCTGTTTAGACCTGTTTTTTAACAAATTTGGTCAGCCTTAAAAAATAAATTTGGTTGACCTGGAAAAAATGTCGAAACGAAATGTCGACAAAAGGTCGACTAAAGTGTCGACAAAAAAGTCGACCAGAGTAATTATTTTTTGACAAATTTTGCTAGTTAAGCTAAATTGGGTTGTGAATTTTAGCTAAGAAAGTATTAATTTTAGAGACTTTTGAGTAAAAACAGAACAAAGTTTCGTTCAATTTCCTCAACGCATGCTTACATGCTCGTCTGGATTCTCTGCATTCTCGATGGATTTGTCCAGCATTTCCAGTTTGGCGAACAGAGACCCGTACCCATTACCACCCACCCCCGGATCCATCATCGTCGGCAGGAGTCCCGGACTCTGTACAGGGTTCCCATTATGCACTCCTCTGCCCCCTGAAACTTGACCGGGTTTATGTGTGATTGATTTTTTAAATTGTTTTCACTTGGTACATGGCAACAAATCTCTCTACTTCCCTCAAAATAACTGATTTAACGGTTAAACGTATGTGATATATTTACCTGGTAATAAATCCCCCCTTTTGCAAAGGAGTGAGAAATAACTAAAGATTTTGAATTAGCCAAATAGGCAATTTTGAAAAAAAATTATCGGAATAAAATTTTTAGCGAAATATGTTACTGTTACTTAAATATTTAAATGTGACTTATGCGCTTTGTTAGGTTGTTCTAATTGTCTGTTAAAATATGGACGAAAATTATATATAGTTTAATTTACCATAGTTGCTAATCCTTCAAGTTAATTATATCTTTCAGGTGATAATTATATCTTGAATATCAGTATTATGGCGTACAAAGTTTTGTAAAGGATTGATATGAGCGCAAAATACGTTATCATGTGAAGTGAACTACTTTGAGTTTTCTATGCAATAATTCAAATTCTGGAAAAAAAAAGAGAAAGCCCACCAAAAGTTTGTGCTGGAACAAAAATGTAAGCGACCTTGACTTTGACCTGGATTCACTGATGACGACATAAATTGATTGGATGATGATGAACAAACACCAGGTGCATTGTTGTTGTCCACAGGAGCCAATTGGGCTCCTCGGACCCCCGAATGCTCGAAGGTATCCGAGGACTTAGCTCGAGGCATCGAACGTCCAGGCACAGTCGGCCGTCCGTGAGAGCCCCCCGTGCCGACTGAACTCCCTCCGTTTCCTCCCCCTCCTCCTCCGCTAGTGACAGATCCCCCGCCTTCGCCGCAGAAACTACCTGAGGCGTGGGAAATCCGAGACAAGTCGCTGTTAGCCGTGCGAGTCAAAGTTGCAGATGATGGTGTGCTGTGATTTGTCCAATTTTTATTAGCCAAGCTGCATTTTGATTGGTGGGCCTGAAGAGAAAGTCGAAATCTTGATTTCTGCGAGTTGAACACTTTTCGATTGGTGATCGGAAAGAAGAAATCTTTTTGACTCATAACGACTCAGAGCCGTGAAAAATAGGTAAAACGCTAATATTGATAAAATTATATCTCATTTTTAAAGTTTCGGCAATTTATGGTTAGTTTAGTTATTTGTTTAAGTTATAAAGTTCGACCAGTGCTCATAAAGAACGTCAGATTCAAATAAACGTGTCAAATAAAAGAAAAGGATCGGTGATTCTTTTCGTATTTTTTCTATATCACTGCGAAGAGGGAATTTTGGCTTCTTAGGGAAGAAAAAGATAACCAAATATGTTTAACCGACAGTGTGTATAAAGAAATGAATAATATTTTACTCGACCGAAATTGGTAACTGGATAACCGCACTTATTACGCACAGATATTACGGAATTTATATATCAGATGGTTACTTTTTAGTTAAAAAATAACAAATACAACAGTGATGGATTCCTAGGGCGCGCTATGATGAGAAAATTAGCACACAGTGTTTTAAGTGTTTGTTTGCAAACGGAAATGGCTGAAGAAAGGATACGCTAAAATTTGCTTCAATTTTTTTCTGTTTTTTTTTCTCTGCGTAATCTGACAGAAATGAAAGTCTAAAAATAACAGCCAGGGGCGGTATCAAATTCAGAGGAAATTCAATTACCACTAACGCCACATATTAGCGTAATAAGGCTTTTTATTATTTCTAATACAAATGCCTAATTTCTCTGCCAAATCTAATCTTAACGCATAAATGATTCGATTTTTTTTTTAAAACATGTTTTTTGCCAATTAAAACGAAAAAAAAAACGGAAAAAGAGTTCTGAATGTTTTTTAATGAAGAAAGCAGGGCTGTTTTGTAGTGCAGTTTTTGCTGCAGCTAATTTATAAGGCAAGTATTCACAAAATTTTATTGAGATTAAAGCTATTCATCGTCTAATTTACTGAAAATATCGTATCAAGAAAAGGGTTGCTTAGCTCTCATCACATTTTGTTGCAGTCATTTTTAACTTGTGAATTTTTGGAGTATGTGACCAATGCAATAATATTTTGGCGGTGAAGTTCTAATACCATGGGGGGTATTTGGAGTGCCGACTATTGTAAAATAACCCGGGGGAGGAGCTTGCTAATTGTTTTTGTCAGTGGACGGAGGAAACCAACTTGATTCTATTATTGAAACCAGACTCTTACCAATTCTTACCAACCAAGTCCACACTTTAGCCTGAACAGACTGTGTTCTGATCTGGTTATAATTTTGATCAGCTTCCAGATTAGGCGAGTGTATCAGCAAGCATAAAAATTTCAAATCACGTTTTGTTGTAACTTCAAATATCATCAGAATACCGTTTGAATATCGTCTGAATACCGTTTGTTTCGAATAATGTATGAATGACCCTTTTTACTCCATACGCATGCAAACTTACACTAAAAAACTTCCCATATAATTGCTTTAAACTTCTTACTATATTTCAACAGCTTATAAGATGCGAATTTTCTACCTTGTAACAACACTGCGCTTTTGTAGTAGGGTGGAGGGGGGGGGGAAGGGGTTCGTGGGATGGAGGGTAGTTTTTAACGTAAAAAATAGCACAGTGAGTTTAGAACCAAAAAAGTTACTGGGCTTACCTTTAAAAGCATTGAACCGGTTGTTTTGCAGTTTGCCGGAGCCCAAATTTTTAGGCCAATCGGGTTGATGCTTATCGGATACTTTGATCTTATAGATTAGATCTAACTGTTGTTGGAACAAAGTTTAAAATCAAAGAAAATGAGGGCAAAAATTAGCTGCTTTATAGCGAAAAAGGCACTAAAATGGAGCACCTTATTTGCGTACTTTGTTTGAAGGGATCTAAAGTGAATTTTGAACAAATTTATCTAAGGAGTCAAAAGTTTGAAAATTTTTCAAAACAAATAGCAAAACCATACAAGCACGTCACTTTTACTGGAACTTGAAGTTTGGAGTCAGAATTTTGTTGTGGAAAACTCTGCGGGCTAAATCTATAATTCAAATAGAGAAATACGAACTGTCGGGCTGTTTTCAAAACTAGCCGCGACAGGAGTTAAGTACAACAAAGAACGTTGAAATAAAAATACTGACGAATTTTCCTATTTTGATCATATTCAAACTGAGTTTCTGAAGTAAAGCTTTGTTATGACGAAGTTTTTATGCAGCAATGAATGCTCCGGCTGACAAGCACTTAATTTAATGTTTCCAAGAAAACGCCGCGCTTTTTAAAACAATATGATGATTGACTTCAAGGTTATCTGGACATTTTTAAAATCAAATTTATGTAAATCAAACAAGGGGCTGGTGCTATCGGTGGTTAAAATGATGTAGAAAATGTTTTGTTGTTCCAACAAGGTGCAGGTCTAAGATTTTCTCGAGAAGGGTGGTGCAGATGTTGAACAAAAAGTTCCATTCAGTTTGATCCATCGACGAACCATTCATGATGAAAAAGCGAATAAGAAATCTTACAAAAACCTATGGCAATCATTTCAAATAGAAGAATTTTTGGGAAACAAGAAGTTTGTTTACGCAGGTTATGACGGTGTGCGTCATCGTGAGAGTCAATGATCTGATAAGAACTCGACTATCGTGTTCCTTCAAAGTATCCTGATGGAGCTTCCAAAAACTCCAACAAGATTCTGCTAGGCTATCAAGCTATTGAATACCTTTCATTCGAATAGCCTAACGCTTGGATAGCTTGGATTTTCATTCGAATGCAGAACAAAGTCTTTTCAATCGAACAGCTTAACGCTTGGATAGCTTGAATTTTCGTATTTTCCAAAAAACAGTATTTTCAAAATCTAGGAGAAAACTCAACCATTCGTGCGAATGAAGGGGTTCCCAATGAACTTGATTTGTCGTTACACTGAAATTTGAGTTGAGCTGTAAACGGTTGGACGCATTATGGTTAAACTAGGTTCGCTTTTCAAAGCCTTGCTGACTGATTTGTCACTGAAAGCGCCTCTCTCTATCACGAAGTTTTCTGAGTGAGTTGGTCTTTTCTTTGCTTTTGCTACTGAGGTAAAAAAAACCGAGTCATCAGCTGACCTCTCTTGTTGGTCAATTCCATGTCAGTAAAAAGGTGCAGTTAAACGTGTGCTAGACTGGCTTCCGTTTTTGGAATTTTCTGGTGACTCCGTTTTCTCACGTTTCAATTTTTTAAGTTTGACGTGTTTTGTTTTGCAATCTAAGTAGTCTCGTTCTTACTTTTGATCGTTCTTTGTTTCTAGTTCGGTGTTTCCTTGCCTCATCAATCTGACGGTCAAAACTTTGATTTTGTTAAGATTCAGAATTAGAGCAACAAGGATTAAGGGCTGGGGTCAGAGACTGAGATAGAATCTGGGGTTTGAACTGAGAATTCAAACGCGGTAGTGATTGTTGAAGAAAATATTGAGAAATTGAACTTAAATGACATGACACTAAGTATCACAAAAGTACCAGTTAATTAAGCACTGACTAATTGAATAGTTCGTGACCACTAGTTGACCTTGTCTGAGTTTAATCAGTTTTTTGACCTCCAAACTGATTCGCTTCGATTAATTTGTCTAAATTTGAGATGGTCTGACATCAACTCCCCCACTCAGGTTGAATTGGCTGTAACCCATCAAGATTCGACGATGTTGGTCTACCTTATTCTTGCTCAGTGCTTTCGTCAACAAGTCAGCTTCCATGATCTCCGTAGGATAATCCTGGAGTTCAATTTTCTCATCTTTGTTCGCTTCTGCATGAAAGGGTTCTTGCACATCTTTATGCAGCTCTGGTTGTCCTCCTTGATGACTGTTGGTCTGTTATTTGCCACGCACATCTCATCGAGAAGTGATATAATATACAGAGCCTCTTGAACTGCTGCTGCTGCTGCCATTGTTTGGTATTTAGCTTCATTTGTAGTAATGGCTGCAGTTGGTTGCTTCTTGGTGTTTCATCTGTTAGCTGCCCCGTTTTCTGTAAACGAAAATTATAGGCAGTAGTTGACCTTCTACCATCCAGATCTTCAGCCTAGTCAGCATCTGCTAGTTCATGCAGTATTATACCATCAGCGTCCCTATTGTAACACAGCTCCAGATCTTTGCTGCCATTCAGATACCGAAGATCCCTCTTAGCATCCACCCAGTGCACACTTGCCGGATTCTCCAGGAAACGGGAGAGTTGCGTCACAGTAGCTAGGATGTTTGGCCTTGTTTGCTTAACCATGTACAATAATGAGCTCATAATGCCTCTGTAGTCCTCAGCCTTCATGGACACTGCCTCGGGTGATTCAGCTTCAGTTCGGTCCTTCTTCGACAATTGACCGCTGATGTTTGCTGATATACCCACTGGTTTGCATTCAGCTAGGCCAAAATGCTCCAAGCAATCGTCAATGTAGTGTGATTGATTCACTGTTACCGTCCCCATCTTGAATTGTTTGCAGGAGCGGTTTCTCACTTTCTGAACTTCGTCTTGACATCTGCACTAAAGGATGATGTATTTACCTACACCAGCCAATAGATGATGCATCATTTGTTCCACTCTTCGTGGGCAGACAGAAGTCGTTGCTGCTTCTAGCACCAACAGTATCCTCTTTTTTTTCGGGTTCAAAGGTCGGAGCAAACCTCTCAGTGAAGTCAAGTCCTTGCGCTTGCATGAACCCTTTCACTATATATCGGGCTCTGTACCGCTCTTTTTATTCGTACGCATCTCTCCTCAGAGCAAGAACCCGTCGTCCATGAACAATTTTTCGAGATCGTGGTCTAACATCAATTGGCCATGTTCCCATCGCTTCTAAAGACTTCACCTCTAAAGCCAAAGCTCCCAGCTACTGCTCCTTTTCGACCCAGACACTGCTTCTGATTAGCCTGTTGGCTCTTGAATTCCAGTAACTCAATCATGGGTTTAGGCCAGTCTGTATCGAATGGTTGGCTGCCTTGTCTCAATTGACCTCTGCACATGATGATCGGTTGAATGTGAAACTACTGTTTCCTCCTCAATC